GGGGTTATATGTGTGAGGGTTAAGTACATCCAAGAGGGGCTTCATTTATACTGAGTCCATCCTTCCAAGGAAGCAGTCATAGAGGTTGGGAGAATCTGAGCGTCTGGAGCCTCATCCCCCACCTTGCCCTACCACACCAAATGATAAATTCCTAATCAGAATTCTCATGGGAAGTCCTGGCTAGAGGAAGAGATTATCTTCTTGCTCAAGGGTTAATCCTATTCATACATCTGTTTTCACTAGCACTGTAGGTGCCCTGGTGACACACTGGCTAAAGCACTTGGCCCCTAACCAGTAAAGTCTGGCAGTTCTAACCCACCAATTGTTCTGAGGAACTTATGTCAACATTTACATCTTTAGAAACCATATAGGACAGTTCTTCTCTGCTGTATAGGGTCTCTGAGTCAGAACAGACTCCGGGCAGTGGGTTTGGTCTTGATTTTTCACTACTAGCACTGTAGACAAAGTCATTAAAACAAGGAGTCAGATTTCTTCAGAATGAGTTAGTGGTTTCAAACAGAACACCGCACAACCTTGTGAATTAAAAAATATATATATTGCCTTGCTTTCAATGGACGAATTATACAGTCGACTTGTGTTTCAAGGAGGCCCAGGTGCCTGGGAACTTCCTTGCCCACTCATTTCTTGTTCAGCCAACACTCACTCATCCGTCCTTGTGCCAGGCACAGGGAAAACAAAGGGCTTGCTTCACAGTGCCTCCAAGATGAAAGGCAGGTACACAAAGCAGTGTTCCTAACGGAATGTAAACACGGATTTTCTCCTGAAGGTTTGTCATGTTGTAAGTTTGAATGCCACCAAAGTTGCGATTTTCATTTCCACTTAAAAATTCGTGCACCTTAACTCACCCGATAGGACGAGTAATTTAAGGTTACCGAGTCATGGAACTTGCTCATCTTATGTAAATATTACTTATCTTTCTTTTTGCACATTAGCAAGTGAAGGAAAAAAGTGTTTAAAAACAAAAAACCGGACCTTTTAAGACGGGCGCCTATTCCAAGCACCTATGGCAACTCGAATCTATTCTTGAGGCACTAACCCGTATTGGCACGACTGCTTGTGTTTAAATGGATTTTCATGTCGTCCCTAGGCTTCTTTCTGCCTTAGCCATTTCTCATCATTTCCCGGCGAGCTGGAAGGAGCCTTTTCCCGAGGACTAAGGGGGGACGGGGAGGGGGGGCTTCCTGCGGCCGCGTTCTCTGCAGAGTCCGGAGTTGCGACCCAGCTTGGTCCCCACGTTTCCCCCCGGCCCGGCCGCCCGTGCTCGGGGAGGTACGGGGACCGGGGACCCTCCCTCGCTGTCCTTGGAGCCGGGGCGGGGGCGGGGCGGTCACGTGCGGCCGGGAGAGGCTGGGAGTTTGCAGGAATGCGGTAACTTGCAGGGAAAAGTTGCCCCGGCGCCGGCCGCGGACTCGGTGCGGGCGGGCGCGCAGAGGAAGGAAGAGCCAGGAGGAGGCGGAGCCCGGGAGCGCTCGGGCGGGCGCTTCTCTCAACTTTAGTTTTGGCGTCGGCGGCGAGTTTCTGTCTCAGTCGGCCGCCGCCGCCGCCGGGGAGAAGCGAGGGAGGAAGGAAGGAAGGAAGGAACTAGAGAAGGAAATAAAGGCGAAGGGGGGAGGGGAGAGGCCACGGCTCGGCCGGCCGCCGAGTCGAAGCGAGAAGGAACAGAAGTTCTCGGGCGCCGCAGGTCGGGGCTCTGGGCGCCCCTCCCGAGCGCAGC